AAGAATAACGTCAGATTCGTAACTATTAACTATCTTCCCTCAACGAACATCGTTATCAGCTTAAAAGGGAAGTCGAATCAGGTTTAAGACACATCAAATTACTTTGAGATCATACTAAACAGTAAACTGAATTGGTCTGATCACAAGATCTCTGCATTCGCAAAGGTTGGTAGAGCATCTTACTATCTATTGAGGCTGCCTATACCCTCGCCAAGCGAAGTAGTACGCCTTTTTGTTTTTAGGTGCATAGATTCCCTGATCACCTACTCAGCCTAATAATATTCTCAGGCTTAATGGAGCAGGACTTCAGGATACTTCGTCAAGCCATAATTTTAATAACCAGGATTACTAGAATTCCTGCTGAAGGAACTGCTGAATGCACTGCGAGAATAACAATTGCAGCAGTCTGTCGCATGGGTCATAACATGCTGAATGATGACAGTCAACCGTTGTACACAAAGTTCAGCGCGAACTGTCTCTGCATCAGAGCAGCCGCGGCCGGTTCAACGGATTTCCAAATCGGTCAGATCTGTACATTATCCATTATCTGTATTATCCATTACACTTTTCCTGACAAGGACACTGAAACAACCAGAGTTGCAAGAGCAATTATTCATACATAATATTCTGTCTTGCCATTAACCTTCTGTGTATATACATTTCATGGACCTGTTTAACATCAGAGTAACGGATGCGCTTATGCCAAGAGCAACAATCGCTGCACATGCTAATAAATTTGACTTGACTACAACACTCCATATTTACCATCAGAAGTACGGCATTCCGATGGGCTCCCTGGTCGATGTTTTATCTTATCTTTATATGTACCACTTAGAGATAAACGCCTGCCAGAATTCTGACCAATGCTCTGTCCGATTTCCCGATGACTGTTTCCTATTATCCCAACGAAATGAGGCGAACTGTAAAGGTTAGAATGTTTCGGGAATTACATGAATGGACAAGATGCGAATGACCGAATATGCTTTACTAATGAAGTAGAAGTTAATCATTCTATCCTTTCTGGACGTACCGGTGAAAAGGATGCAAATGTCTGAATTTAAGGTTTCCGTAAATTGGAAACCAACATACTCCAGTTGACACCTACACCCCGGTGTCATGCATCCCTCCTGGAATACTTAGAAACGTGGTGAAAAACATGAGTTTATGAACCCAAAAGACCGCAACTATCACTTCTGGCCTAAATGCAGAAATTAAACATCTTTACCAAACGTTTCTAAAGAAAGCCTACCGAAGGAGGATTATTGATGAAGAACCTCTGCACTCCCCCGTTCAAACTTAAAGACAGCCAGTTCATATGAACTAATGCCAATTTTACCGTTCATACCCTATGTAACTCAACGTATAACGAAGCACCTCAGTGAAATTGGGTTTAGGGTTTACAAAACATTGAGCAACATTTATTTAAGAAGCATTTGCCCATTAATAACCCAGAAGATGCGTTAAATGTTGTATATAAAGTTCAGTGCACAGACTGCGACAAGGTTACATTGGAAAGACCAACCGGGAATTGAATATCCGGATAAAAGAGCATCTTTATACGGTTCGCTTAGGACTGGACGACAATTCTGGTATCGCCCAACAAGCGATTACTGAAGGGCATTCTTTCAGTCAGGCCAATGTGTACGTTATACATAAACATCAATCTAAAATAAGTCTGCTGATAAAGGAGTCCTTGCATATACTGATGATGAAAAACCGGATATGCAATGAATACAGATCTTCTGTAGTTATTACCAACAGCAGGGGACGAACAGAAACTGATACGATTAATCGTGTTTACATCGCAATAACCTGGTTGTTTTAACCATAATTTAAAACTGGTTGCTGGACGGTCAATTAAATAACATTTTGATTGTAAGGTATTGTTCGCTTGTTGAACATAAGTGTCTTCAAGCAGTCATTTGTACTTGGCCTAGCCTGATGATGCTACGGTCCATGTAGCGAAACGCGTCTAGAATGTGTTGTATTTGGTGCCCTGAATCATGAACCACTCAAACAGCTATCTGTATAACTATGGGCTCAGAATCAAAGACAAATATTATTTATTTGAATTCCATTAAACATATCTGAGATAGGATCAGTAATTTGGGCCATAGTTTGCTTCCAAAAACTTACCAGAACAATGTGCGCTTACACAAGGTACTTGCACTATTGTTCCTAACACGTCCTA